AAGATAGCTGCAAAATGCTCAAAGAGGAAAACATAAATAACAAGTACATCTTTCAAAGCGTGGGGTAGGTGGTTTCTTTTTTCCTTCCCAATTCAGGGTCTTACAAATTAAATCATGTTAAAAAAAACCCAACACAAAACAAACCCCAGAACCACAAAACCCCCAAACAACCAACGAAAAAGCCCACTATCAGGCCTGGAAATCAAATCCCTGTTACGCAATGTAATGTTCTCCTATTTACTCCTCACTCTGTTGCAGACTGTTACAGAGGATTGTTTAAAAACGTTTCTATCATTCCTTTTCCTCCCCTCTCTGTTTTTGCTATTAAGAGTCACAGCTGCCCTTTGGTCTTTGAGCAGCAGCAGTCTGGACAGTTTGGAGTAGCAGTTTCATGTGTTAAACTTTGCTAGTAAATGGCTTGTAACAACATATAAGGATGGATCAATCCCAAAGGTGTTCAGCCTGAGGGGATTTTTGTTTGTTTCTTGTAGATACTGCAGTGGTGTCCTGGCCATGCCTTATGCTGTTGTGCAAGCAAGTGAATTACCTGACTGCATTCCTGGGGTCTTGGTCTCTCTTTCTTCATTTAGTACTTTTTAATCTATGGTTATAACTGCCCTAGGTGTGGAGTAACCTCTCCACTGGATACCTCTTGATCATGTTTGTGCCATACTGTAAGCCTCAAGCCTTTGGCTGACTTCTCCTTGGGCATCTTTCACCAAGCACCAAGTCTTCTGAGCTGTATCCCACATGCAGGGTATGGGTGTATAGTCATTATCTTTGTTACTAACCCCTGCAGCATGGGCTGGGAGAAACACACTGGGAGGCATTAGTCTGCTCTCCTGACCCAGCACAGCCACCCAGCCCGTCTGTTGGCCAGGGTGTCGTGGTCTCTGCTGTTCCTCTCAGTGGACTGATCCTTGACATCACTGCACCACGACCTTCTTCCTCTCTCCTTCTTCTTTGTCTTGTCACATTAGGACTTTGTATTTCTGAATCATTGTTGAATTAATTTCTTTGCTATACACCACTGCTATCTGGTATCAGCTCAGCAATCTTGCTGTGTTCTGGCTTTGGTTTTACTTTATCTCACAGGCTCTCATAGCCCACACTCTCTCACACTCACAGGAGGTGATAACTCCAGCTCATCACATTTCCCCCAGTAAATCAAGCTTGGGGATCAACAATATTTTCTTGTTCTTATCTTGCAAGTTCAGGATATGTGCTAGTTACAAAAGATGCACTAGATCACCCTCTGGCAGCCAGAGTGTGCATCACCCGCTCACTCTAAACATTGACACTGGGAAAAGAGCTCTTTACTACTTCGGCTATTTAATCCCACCATGCAGTATAGAGACACTTTGAAGATATGTGTCCCACCAAAATAAGTGGTGCTGCTTTTGGAGACAATCGTCCAATACAGAATTTTTGGCCAAAGCAACATCGTATTTTTTAAATCCTGTTAGGTAGCATGGAATAACGGATGTAGCAAGTCAGTTGTACAGGGAGATGTGCTCAACACAGGCTGATTAGAAGAAAGGAAAGAGGGAGGAACGGTTCAGTAACCCAGTGGAATCTTTGGTACTTAGATTCTGCTGATTTTAATGGATGTGCTGAGCTTTCAGGTGGTTTGGGGACTGCCTCAGCATTCCAGATCAGACTGTGCTTCAGAACAGGACCAAGAAAGAGTAGAAGCTGTGTGTGCTATGGAATTTACTATCAGATCATTCTGCACATGGATGTGAGACACACCTGCTTGGGTCATCCCCGAGGGCTGTGGACTCCGGAGGTGTGAGCCAGTCAAATGCATCCCCAGCTGCGGTGCATGCTAACAGAAGTACCTACTAACTCATCTCACACAGCTTTTGGCTTTCATTGGGTTCCTCCAGGAAATGTTGCAGCCTGTTAACCCATGGAAGAGTGCGTAGTCTTCTGCCAAGTTCAAGACCTGAACCAGCTTGTAGTATGATGCTGAGGAGACAGGAGCCAATGACTGCAGCCTAGATCCTGTATAAGTGAGGTGTCTGGGTGCTCAAGACAGTTCTTATGCTCAGTCAAGTGTTTGCATCTACAAACAATCATTCAGTCAGCTAAGATGTGGCAACTGTGGTACTTGGAGTGCTGTATCTACACAAAGAGCTGCCTGTAGTAGAGCACAGTCTTTGCTCATCTAATCTTGTGTCCCATCTCAGCCATACCTGTTGTTTGTTGCTTTGGTCAAAATACTCCTTGAGGGTTGAGGCAGGACAGCAGAAAGGAATAAAGCTGCCCTGTTACTTAGCCACGTTGGTCCCAAGAACAAGCAGACAATGTTGTTTTGTCCCAAGTCCCTTAACAGAGAGCCTGAGGAGAGATTTCACAATCATAAAAATGTAATTAGTCCCCAGTGCTTTGGGGAAATATGATTTCTTTTCCCATATCTTCTTATTGGGGGCAGAGGGGAGAATGGGAGGTTAATATATCTGAAAATAAAACATCTGGCTATGTCATTTTAAGAAGTCTGTTTTAGATAAGACTGTAGAGCAGTCAGTCTCTTCTGTACAGACAGCATTCATGCCAGGAGCAGTGGTAGATAGCAAGCACAACACGTTTTCCACAGTGTGTAGTCTCTGCTAACAAAAATGAGTAGCTGTGATACTAGCAGTTGAGAGTCAGTTCTGCTTTTAGGCTGGTTTTGGTTTAGGTAACCACTGAAGCTGTTCAGGATTTGAGGCCTGCTCAGACAACAGTGACTTGGTGTCTCTCCATGCTCTCCTGCAAGAACTTTGTTGGTAGAGGGGCTGTGTTAACCTGGGTGTTGAGCACTTCATCCAGAGAGGGCATCAGGCACATGGATGGACTGGCTCATCTTTTGTGAAGACTTCATAGCTTTAGCAAGAACCCTGGGGTGGTGGGAGGGAATGCACTTTGCCCTCCAGCTGACTGAGAAGTTTGTTGGAGGTGTAAAGAGTCTCTTCCACCCTGGAAATAGAGGGAGAGACCCACCCTTTCAAGTAACCCAGACGTCATGGACACTTTGTGTTAGTCCTCCATCTCAGCTGCTAACCTCAGCTCAGATCTGTCTGTGCTGCTGTAATGTCTTGTCTGCTGATGGTGACTGGGAACAGTAAGAACACTTGTCACAGTTGGATCTCCTGTGGGACACTTGGAATAATCTGAGTCTTCTTTTTTCGCCTTTACCCTCACTTAGATACAAGATATCCTTCCAAGTGGGCAGAGATGTTTGAAAGCGAAACAGAAAAGCGGTCCTGCTTTGTTCCTTGTTTCAGCCTACTCTCTTTTTGCTAAATATAGTGAACAGTTTCACACTTTTGGGAGATGAATTTTTAAAGTTTTTCCAAACTGACACGTTCTGGGGTCACATAAATCAAGTCTTGGACCCACCACAATTCCCACCTTCCATAGAAGATCAATTCTAGACATCAGCACCCTCCTTGTGAGTCTTCCACGTGGGAAAACTGATTTCTGCTTTCCTGTCCTCAGAGGAGCTTGGCTTAAGAATGCACTTGGAGAATGTGCCAGATGCTAAGCTGGTTGGTCACCCCATCACAGAGCAGTCTGAAGGGAGAGTGTGACCCATAAATAACAGGCACAGTATGAAGAAATACATACTATAAATACATGCTATAAATAACTGAGCATTGTGCATTTTCCAGGGCTGTAATATACTTGCAGGTTTTAGATGTTTTGTAACCTTTACCAGCAAGTCCCTCAGTGATCACAAAAACTACTTACATCCTTCATACATAACGTTGAAGTGGAGCATGTTTTCCCACTCCCCAAAATCAAGCGCTTGTCAGTGACAGATTGAGTTGGTTGTGTTCTGCCTTCCTCGTTGTTGTAGCAGTGTTTGCAAGAGGTGTGCATGTTACCAACCTCTGCCAGGGAAGCTTTTGGGAAAACTCTCTTAGGGCAGCCAAGACTAGCACAACCGCTGCTGGAGTAATTGTGTGCTTTGGTTTGGGTTTGGTCTGTTTTTCTGGATTGGCTGCCAACACAAAGAACCAAGGGAAAGAATTCCGAGCAAAATTTCAATTTTCTCCTTTTTTTCTTTCCTTGACAAATTAAAGAATAGGAATATTTCATTTCACCAAGCCCCTGAAGTGTTCCATTTCAGTCATTAAGAAAAGCAAGGGAAATGAAGGCTTAGACTTCAAACAAAGTGCCTGGGGGCTGTTCCTGGTTAGCAGCTCAGGGAGTGGACCCCTCATCCACGATGGAGGAGACCCTGCTCCAGCTCTTTCCTCTGCTGGAGAGCACTTGAACCTTCCCAGGAAGGTTTGCTAGGAACAGACTGTTCTGAGGATGGGATTAGGTGAAAAGTGAGTTGGAGGAGGCACAGGCTGGATGTAAAACCAAAAGTAAGCAAGGCTGAAAATCTGTTTCTTTGCTTTCAAGCTGCAATTCTGAAAACGAAACTGGACGATTTGCTTGTTTGTAATGGTTGGGAACACTGAAGAAAAGATATTTATATGAATTTTGGATGAATTTGTCACAATGGAAATTCATGTCTCTGTATCTTAAGAGTCCAGTTTTCTTAGCACATATGTTAAGATGTACCTTTATATGTACAGCATAAATTGCTGATAGTGATGCAGATGACCTGTTCCTTAGGACACACATGGATGTTTAAGAAGTGCCACTAAATGGATGTGTTCTTACTTGCTATGGCTCTTGTCTCTGCCTCCAAATTAACCTCTTTTCAGAAAACTAATAAATCCTGAGCAGGGCTGTTTCATATAACAGATATTTTAGTTTTCAGAGATATCTCCTTGGCCAGAAGACTGGATTGGAATGCCTCCTTGCAGCACTGTCTCAGCAGGTTTTGGTGACCAGCACCTTTTGGGATAGTGTCAGGATGGGCAGCCTTTGCTTTGAGCCTCCTGATGAAGCCTCCAGTCTTCACCCTAGGTTGCCCTGTGTAGTGTTTGATGGCATGTGGTCAGTACTGCCCTTGTGTACCTATCTAAATCACTGTCATCTGTATGTTCTGGCTGCAGATCGTTAGATGGCCGGCTCCAAGTGTCCCATCGGAAGGGTCTTCCCCATGTGATCTACTGCCGGCTGTGGAGATGGCCAGACCTTCATAGCCACCATGAGCTGCGGGCCATGGAGATGTGCGAGTATGCCTTTAACATGAAGAAGGATGAAGTCTGTGTGAATCCTTACCATTACCAAAGAGTGGAAACCCCAGGTACTGCTGGCCCCGAATGCAGATACCTCAGCTTCTCATTACCAGCATAAGGGATTTATAAGTGCATTTCAAAATTGAATAAAGCAGCAGGTGTAGGGTTTTAAAACCAAAGTGTATTTATTATTGATGCTAATCTCTTACTGTATGCAGCAGAATAATTTATGAATCTGCACTCAGGGGAAAAATACCATTTCAAATCGATAAAATCCAAGTTGAGCAGGTTGCCCTGTTGCCAGGTTCCTGATGTGGCATTCATTGTGTGCACACAAACAGCTCACACACATAGTAGATACAAGTATGAGCTGTGACAGTGCTGTACGTATCCCTAAGTGCTGGTATTAAATTAAGGATAAACTTAGTATTAAGTTGAAGTGGATCTAAGAATAGCTCCCAGCACAACTGAATTTCCTGTTCTGAAGTCTCCTGCCTCTGAGAGAGACTTTCATCTGGAACTGCAGATACTTCTGCTGCATGCTGGTACAAATCTGCAGAACCAGTCTGGATGTTTATGCTAATCCCACCTTGCTGTTTCATTTTATGTGAAATTTATTCCTTTGGAATCATGTGGTATAACTTCTCCTAAATGGGTTTTCAAGAAGACCAGTTTCTTTGCCTTACGAGGGGCAGACAGACTAGGTGTGCTCAGATAAGCACGTATCCTGTCCCCAGCTGAGGTATGTTAAGAATAGCATCTTTAACTGCTGCTATTTCAGAAGCAACTATCAAATTGTGTCCCTTAATTAGCGACTTAGGTGCTGCATGTATTTAAGGGTGTTACTCCAAACTGGTTTCTCTTCATTTTCTAGGGTTTCAGTCACTTTATTTTAAAGCTGTTCTGTTGTTTTCCTTTCCATTTGTGCAGTGTTACCTCCAGTGCTGGTGCCTCGGCACACAGAGATCCCAGCGGAGTTCCCGCCGTTAGACGATTATAGCCATTCTATTCCAGAGAACACTAACTTCCCAGCAGGTATTGAGCCACAGAGCAACTACATTCCAGGTACCATATATCTTCCATACAGCGAGCAGAGGGAAAAGGGTTGTATTGCACAGTGAATCGTGTCTGTATATGCCAAGCTGGATGATTGGAAAGTCTTTCTTTCCATCGTTACTATGAAGCTAAGGAGTGGGAACCTATACAGAAATAGATGAAAGCTGTAAATGTAGACACAGCAGTGCTGTTTATAGTTTAGTTTTGTTTTCTTTTCTTTAAACTCACCTCTTCACTAGCACATACTCAATTGATTGTAGAATCTAAAGCTGAATGTTCCCTCTGCATGGTTAGATTTGAATGAAATTCAGCCATTTTAGTTTGAGTAAAACTAAATTTCTGGTGGAATTGAGCTCTTCTATTTATGTATCTCTTTTACAAGCAATTTACACCTTATTTGCATGGAGAAGCTATGCAGCTGCACACCAGGAGAGGGAAAATATGTGGACAGAAAACTCTCTGCATGGCTTAAAGTTTGATGGGATTGAAAATCCGGATTTTTTTGTTTCCCCCTCCTCTGTTATTCACAAATACGTTACGACTGTCATCCTGGTCGTGCCAGCTCCTCCTTTCAGCAGCTTGAGGAGGAAACATACTAAAAAAGAAATTTAGCTGCTTGTGAATAGTAAAGTCAATGTTTTTGATGTCCGAAATCCAGACTTTGCATCCAGTTGCAATAATAGTATGATCATTTTGTGCTTCTAGAGACACCTCCTCCAGGCTATTTGAGTGAGGATGGAGAAACAAGTGACCACCAGATGAACCCCAGCATGGATGCAGGTAAGTCATCTTTTGCCATTTGCTGCAGCTTCCTATGTCACATCATAGACACTTACAAAGTTTTTCTTTGGGGCACTGAAGATCAGATGGTGGTTTGAGGTATTTTATCCCTATAGGAGTGCAAATTTAGCCTGACATCTCATGTAAAGCACATGGGAATAACTGTTGAAAACATCTTCTTGATTTGGGTGGTGTCACTACCCAAAAGACCCACTGAATCGGACCCTGAATTCTTACAACTTATGCTTGAAAAGCAAAACCACACCCTTGGTTAGAAACGCTGATGCTTTACAAGAGGGTTATGCAAATACATGGCACTTACAGAGAGACAGACGTGCAGAACCTAATTAATGCAAATACTGCACACAAATATCTTGGTTTCTGTGCATGTCTTCATCCGTAGAGCATACGTGGGATTCTAAAAGAGGCATGAATGATTTGCAGTCTTTCACCACACTTACACAGATGGAGGAAGGCAGTGTGGGTTTGTTTTTCTACATCAAACATAAGCCTATTGGCACAATCCATTTTAGTGCATACAATTATTGGTAATGTGGTTGACATGTGGAATGTATGTATGGCTTTTTGGAAAGTGGACTGGAATAGGATTGGCCTGGGAGATGCTATAAATACCCAGTTCAAGTTCGAATGCTGTATCTCTTTCTTGAGATGTCATGAACTTCCCTCTTTATAGAAAAACAAATTTCAAAGAAACCAGCAATACTCAGTGTGAGAGGAGAAGCAAAATGGGCTGTACCACCTCTGTGCATCCATGTGGCATCCAGAGACTGTGGAATCTGCTCTGGACATCCAAGTGCAGATACCTGAAATACGCACGCAATTTGTGGACCAAACTGAAATGATTTAGAAAAAAATTCTGACAGTTGTTTGGTCACAGCTGTGTAGCTCGGTCCAATACTCCATTCTCTCATAACCAGTAAGATTTATTGATATGAATTTTTGATGGTTATGAGTATGTTTGTGCCTAGTAATGTAAGATCATGCTGTTAAATGCCCAGCTAACTGTAGCTGTCATGATGGAACCTGGAGCTTTGATCACTGCAAGTAAAACAGACAACTGCCTGCTCAGTTTTGAAAATTAATGAAAATTAAGCTTAAGAGAATGCATTATGAAGATGCTTAGCAGTATTGCAGATGTAGCAAGCTGATATAAGTAACAGCATTTAGAAGCTCAAGTAATCAACATCACAGGAGCTGCTGGTGTCACAAAATGAGTCTGAAGTAAGAAGTGGGTTATCCCTCCTACAAGCCCAGGCAGAGCTGAAGATTTGCTGTAAGTGTTTTCCCTTGTGCAGATGCTGTACTAATAATTACAATGTCTTGATTTTCAGGTTCTCCAAACTTATCACCAAACCCCATGTCTCCAGCACACAATAATCTGGGTAAGCATGTGATCTTGAGAACGGTGTGTAATTACGGTCAAGGTAGTGACATTTTAATGATGATTATGTGCACTTTTGCTAAGGTTGTGAGCATTGTTGATGTTCCTTTCCACTAATCCTCTTTACCGTGATAACAGTGATTCACAGTAACTCTAGATGAAATACAGAAATCTGAACTTACGTGAGAGAGTTAAAGAAAAACCCAAGAAATGCTGGCAGACAAATAACAGAATGAGTGAAGGATTACAGCAAAAATACACTTATTTGACTACGTGAGTTTGCAAGGAATATGTCCATCTGTTTTGCTGGTGGTTTTGTGTTCTCCCAGTGAAACTATGAGTGCTGGGATTATGTCAGACCCCAGAGTAAGTCTACCTTAGGGGCATCCCTCCACCGCATAGGGATAAAGCAGCTCAGAGCCCTAGTGTCCCAGTGCCCTAAACCACTGGAAGAACTGGCCCAGGTGTGTAAGTTGTTATAGTATGAAATGGAGCATGAGCTGAGCAGAACGAAGTGGAGGTGGGTTGTGTGTGATTGGAGAGTCCAAATAAATGGAGAGAAGGTAGGAATTCTGGCGTATGGAAAAGCAGAGATGTCATGGACAGCCTTCTTTGAGCATTAGAGGTGTTTGTGGGGTCTTATGCTCAAATGAGCCTGGAACAGGGCCTTTACCTTTGCGGTACTATTAGAGGTTTTGTGGTTATCTGTGAGCCTCTGCTTCTGTCTCAAATGGCTCTGCCCTTTATTTTCATACCTACAGACATAAAACGTCTGATCTTCATCAGTTTGAGCTCTTACCCTATTTGCAATTGCTCTCAACGGTCTGTCATAAAAAGCACTCACAGTTCTGGCTAGCTGCAGGATCAGTTCTCTAAATGTTCATTAAGCCAGCAGACAGAGGCCACTTGAGATTACTCTTGAATAACCATGCCATAAAGTTTACATATGCTTTTAATCCTGGCACGGAGTACTTTGACACTGCTCCAAAATTTGTCAGTCATTGGCTGACTTGTGGATATCTTGGGGCTGTTGAAGAGGGGATTTCTTTTCTCCTCTTCTTTTTTTGCTCTCTTTTTCTTTCCTTTTAAAGCGTGAGATATATTGCCACAGTGCCACTAAATTTTTATTTGCTTTTAGCCATTAAAGCCTAAAAAGAGAATACGTGGCTGGCTTTTTTTTTATTTCCTTTTTTCTTTTTGGTTGAATCCGTTATGCTCCAATGTGCTGCTTAGGAATTGAGGAGAATTTCTAGCAATTTCTTTTCAACCTCAAAATAAAAAGCCCATCATACGCCACAAAACCAACCTGGCAAGTTGATTGTGGCGTCTGCCTTACATAAGGAGGAAAGGAGTTTCTAGGAAAGAGGCCCCAACGTGTATCTTCTAACAAGGACACTAGTTATTAACACTTGCTGCTCAGTGGATGGACCTGTCGGATGTCTAATGTGCTGTCTGGTGACAAAACCTAAGTAGGAGCAGGTGAAGCTGGTTAACCACAAAGAATCTCTTTGTAGTCTAAGGAGCAGACATCAGAAAAGCATTTGAGCTTTCCAACATTAAAATATACCTTTAAGTTTTGCAAAGCAAATATTTATTGCTTTTAGGCAAGAGCTTCCACCAATGAAGAACTTTTGTCTCTTTTAAAGATTTTATTGTCAGATTTTGCTACAAAATAATAAATGAAGAGGCATGTAGCTGAGCAACTCTTAAAGCTGTCAAATGACGAAACTGTCATCATTTCCCCCTCTCCTCTTGTGAGATCCCCACTGGAGCGCTGCATTCAGCTCTTGGGGCCCACAACACAAGAGGGACGTGGAGCTGTTGGAGTGAGTCCAGAGGAGGCCATGGAACTGCTGCGAGGGCTGGAGCAGCTCTGCTCTGGAGCCAGGCTGAGAGAGCTGGGCTGGGGCAGCTGGAGAAGAGAAGGCTCCTGAAGGGGAGACCTTAGAGCAGCTCCAGTGCCTAAAAGGCTCCAGGAAACCTGGAGAGGGGCTTTGGACAAGGGCCTGTAGGGACAGGCCAAGGGGAATGGCTTGAACCTGCCAGAGGGGAGACTGAGATGAGCTCTGGGGCAGAAGCTCTTCCCTGGGAGGGGGCTGAGGCGCTGGCACAGGGTGCCCAGAGGAGCTGTGGCTGGCCCATCCCTGGCCGGGCTTGGAGCAACCTGCTCTAGTGGAAGGTGTCCCTTCCCGTGGCAGGGTTTGGAGCTGGATGATAATGGCCTGCAGTGCTCCTGCGCTTGCTGCGCTATAGGATTCTGTGGATAAGCAGAATGCTTAAGTGTCTCGGGCTGTACTTTGATCTGCAGAAGTTTGATCAGGCTTTCTCTCTGTATTTGTTAAGAAAATGGAATAGAAATTTAAACAACACAATGGTGTGCAATGAGGGTAATGAGCAGCAAGCTCCCAGCAGCAGTGCAGTATTGCTGTAAAGAAAATAACATCACAGCATTGATGTCCATTTATTTGACCAGAACTACTTGAAGCTTTTAAGACAGTTTACTTAGTGTAAGCTGAACTTTGGACTTAAATCCCATGGCCATATTCCAGAGCATTACAGAGGCAATGAACTGGGGCCAAACCAAGTAAGACAATGGAAGCAAGGTTTGTTTGAGGTGCAGGGTATGTATTTCAGCATAAAGCTGTAAGACTGTAGTAGGGGATTGAAGGAACTCAGGGAGTTTCATCTTTCCATTCACGGGCACAAAAGTGTTGCAAGGTAACATATTGGGATTTATTTTTTGACTCCTTTCAGCTCATGCTATCAAATTCTCAGTTGTCAAACATAAGCTTTAAATGGAAGTTACAGATATCCAGCGATCTCTTCTGTATCACTGAAATACAAACTGGAGAAGATACAGAAAACAACCAAAATGAGAGTTGCCAGCATTATATGGACATTTGGGATGAAGTCAGGGAGTTGACACTGGCCAAGGGCCAGGCCTGTGGTTGCATGCACATTGTTATTTTGGAGCGAGGCAGTCCCTTGGTGTGCAGGAAATCCATTGTCAGTGTTTGCTCCGCAAAAGACTTGACGCAAAAGCTGTAAGTGAAATAAGCACATCCCCTACGGTCAAATCTATCAGGAACATAAGCCTCTGTTCCTCTCTGTGTTGAAACACCATTTCCCAAAGCAGAGAACAGACAGCCCTTCTCAAAGTGTACAGAGGGGAAGGGAGCATGCACACCTATTCATCTTTTGTTCCTGGGGGAGTTAGAATTAATGTGCCTGCAACTAATCCAGTTGGATATTACAGATGAGTAACTTCTGATGTGTATCAGAAGCACAGGCTTAAATTAAGAGAACAACCACTCTTCTGCTTCGAGCACACGCTGAAGCCAGTAGACTTTTTTTCCTCCACAGCTGAATGAGATGACCTTTGAAGGTCCCTTCCAACCCAAACTGTTCTGTGTTTCTATGAATAGCTAGTACTTTTGTCTTGTAGGGAAGATGCAATATGGGTAGCATCCCAGTACTCAGTGGACACTTGGGAAAGCAAAGCTGTAGTTGAACCAAGCTTGAAATTGTATGGAGGTCATTCAGACAGGGTTTGCTTGGGTTTAATGCATCATGTTTTATTTGATTGTATACCCCCTCAGGATTCTTTGGCTTTAGCAGAGCTACATTCTCTTGCTTTACCCCAAACACTAAATCCATAAATTGAACATGAATATTCAGCACAGCTCTTACACAAGAGGAAACATGCCCATCCCCTGACAGCTTAAGCTGAAGCCTAAGCCCACAAATCACAGCAGAAAGCAGCACCACTAAAAGCTTGGTTGCATTTTTTTAGAGACCAGGTTTTCTTCAAAATAGGGTTTGTCGGTTTGTGTCTTTCCTCAAGTCGCAAATAAGCTGGAAATAACATTTCTGTACATCCTTCAGTGGGGAATCCACAGTTCCCTTGAGGGGCAAGCAAGCGGAGGTGGTTTCTGAAGGGCAGGACCACGAAACCATAGAGAGCAATAAAGGCCTCAGTGGTTTTATAACTTAAATAGTACCAATCCGAGGACGTAACTTAAGGATTTAAAAGAGTCGATTTGATTTTACTGGAGCTGAGCAGCCTTACAGTGAGAAAGGCACTTGCTGTGGAATAAGGGCACGGTCGTGTGGAACACAAGCTGTTTTCTTACCTGGGTGGACACACGTTAAGAGGCTCAGGTTAGTGCTGGTATTTGCTGGACCTCTAATCAAATCCTGCTGTGGGCCCCACCTGCTAATGGATGAAATGAGGCTGGTATTGGAGAAATATTCCTGATGTGGCCATTTCCAGTGGGAAAACTATATATGTCATACAAGAGACGAAGGCAGAGCCACTAAACTTACAGAATCCTGGTTTGTGTTGGAAGGGACCTTAGATCTCATCCAGTTCCAACCCCCTGCCACGGTCAGGGACACCTTCCACTAGAGCAGGTTGCTCCAAGCCCCATGTTCAGTATCATTTGTGTGTATCAGGAGAGGGACCTCCTTTAAGCTATAAAGATGTTTAAAATGGGGCAATCTGCTCACCAGATCTCTTAAATTGCTGTAGAGACCCCTGTTGTATTGAGCTGCCTTCTGTTAGCTTTCACTTTGAGCATGATGTCCTTTTCCGTAAGAGGAAGATATGTTGTTTCTTTTGTGGGCGTAATGTGTGGAGGAGAGCAGGAACACGGGGCTTTGCTTGTGATAGAGCATTTTTCTTTTCAATGATATAATTAGGGAAGAGATTGTGAAAGATGTGGGGAATGGGTATAGGCTTCAAAATTCACAGACTTTGAAGCTCTGCTAAGGATTACAGAGTTCCCCAGAATGCACTTTTATTCAGTTCCTTATTTGCTGCCAGCAAAGCTTCTAACAAAGCAGAAACCAAAGGGTTTTTCTGGTTATTAGCTACTTTGGGAACTGATACACCACAGTACAGAGAGGAAACCAACATGGCTTTTGGCTGCTTCAGCCTGCTTCTAAAGGAGTAACAGCAGGTACCAGATGAGAAATGACTCTCAAACCTCTGTTGAGACACTCTCCTCAGGGTGAGAGGAGGCTGGGGTAGTAAAAACCTGTCTTTGATTTTTTTGTAGCTGATCTCTTAAGCCCCAGATTCGCCTGAGCCTTGCAGGAGCAACAGATGGGAAAGCCTATGGAAAAACCTGGGGTTTGCTGCTTGATGTTAACTCTCTGGCCAGATGGGAAGCTGTTCTCTTCTGCTTTTAAGCACCATTCGAATGGAGATGAAGCGATAAGCTGGGGGAGGACTGGAGGGAATTCTCTTGCTTTTATTTCTTGCTCTGAATGAGGGGAATGGAGCACTTATCAGCTCAGTCTGCTCTCTGCTTCCTCTGCTCAGCAGATTCTTGGCTTGCAGCAGGACTGGGCATCATCTAGTGCAGTATTTCCAAGAAATTTGACTTGAGCCTTCCTCTGCTGAAACCACATTGGCTTCAGTGGGAGCAGTTAAATCATTCGATGCCATTTGAATGTCCCACCTTTCTTGTGGATGAAGTATTGACTTCCTGAGACTGCCTCAGCCTCAGTCTGCTCATGAACTTGAGTCCACAGGCGGAGTCAGACCGTGAGCCCAACAAAAGAGATGTGCCATCGTCCAGTGAGGAAATGCATTTTCTGTTGATAATTTGAGATCAAGTGCACTGGAAGAAAGCATCTAATTTTTAAATCGCTTTAATGCCCATATAACATACAATTTAGTGCATGTTTCAGACAACTCTACTGGTTTCACCAGTGCCAGGGAGATCACAGAGTCAGTAAGAATGAAAGTTGGACTTGCTGCTTAGTTTAAGTGCAGAGCAAGAGGGTTCTGGAGACCTGTGTTGGTGAAAGCAGGTTTGTGGTCTGCGCTGTCTAAGGTTTTCTGTTTCTTTCTTTTCACTCGTTGGTACTGGCTGTCTAAAAGTGATCCCACATTTTGTAGTAAAGTTAACTGTATTTTTACATTCTCTCCAAGTATGAAGATAATTAAGTGACACCTCACTTGCTAAGTGACTAATATCTTCGACTGCATTTGTTCCATGTGCCAAAAGCTCCAGGGTGATGTAACTTTCTAGCTGCGGTCCATTAAAATCTGTCAAGTAATTAAAGTTTGGTGATTAAAGTAAGCCCAAGGAATGAGGCAGAACAATATTCTAAAACAGTCGTTTTTTTCATCCTCCCCCTTCCCTTCCCGAGGGCCTGTGATTCATTTTGCAGCTTCTTTTGTGCAGATCTGCAGCCTGTTACCTACTGCGAGCCGGCGTTCTGGTGCTCGATATCCTACTATGAACTCAACCAGCGAGTGGGAGAGACTTTCCACGCCTCTCAGCCCTCTATGACCGTGGATGGTTTCACTGACCCATCTAACTCGGAACGTTTCTGCCTTGGTTTACTGTCCAACGTGAACAGAAACGCAGCAGTGGAGCTCACGAGACGACACATTGGTAATTGCTGTTTCCTTGGGTTAGCGGGTGTCTTTCAAGATGGAAGGTGGAGACCTGCATGTAAAGCTTTTTATTTAGCTGACTGGCACACAGCTTGCTCGGTTTTAGAACACTGCATGTAACAGAGACAGAGATTAAACTTTCACATGCACTCTTCCGTCTTTGGATGGATGTTAGTGGTGATCTTGTGAATTCCTCCCCCCCCCCCCTTCACTATTTTAGTTTCTGACTGTTTCTTTTATAAATGGAAACTTAGTTCCTTGATTCTCATCTCAGTTTCCACTTTTCTTGCTTGTACTTCAAGGTAACATTCAATTTTGTTTTCAGTTGAACTTGCACTAAATAGAATATCCCAAACTTACACACTTTTAATAAAAGGCAAAAATTGCTTATGCTTTGCTGTGTTTTCTGCTGACTTCTATCAAAAATGAACCTTTTTGTCCTATTCTTGCTCCCCTTTACACCCTTTCCTGAGCAGTAAACTTCGTAGAGGAGGATCTTTCCTTGTTTCTAACATGACTTCTAGCACCAAAAAACCCCCAAGCCCTCAAAAACTCACCAAGATTCAGAACTTAGTCTTTAAATTCAGCAGGCTCCGTATGCTTTATGGAAGAATGGAAGCAAGATATTCAAATAGGAATATAAGATGACAGCAAGTGTTTATTTGAGCAACAAAGATGTCTTGGTGAAATTTGTTTCTTTATTAACTGAGATTTTAATAATTTGTGCAAACTCCTATGGGAAATGTACGTTTGTCCTTGTATACAATGTCATCTCAAGCAAGAGGCAATGGTTTGAAAACGTTGTATAATTTAATTCCAAATCACTAACTAAATAAGCAAACAGTTGTATCCAGCTGCGATGACTTTCAGAAAAGGCTGAAAACCATATGTTAACTGATAGAATGTTCATCTGGAAAATATCAGAGACATCTCTGTTTGGAGTAAGCAGTCTGTGAGGTGGTAAACGCATGCAGGCTGGCTGTGATTGACAGTGGGGCCAGAGGGTACAATTCTGACTTTATAAATTGGTCCTCCTGCCTTCCTCAGCTCAACCCGCTCACAGAGCAGATTTATTGCTCCCTAATGGGAGTTCAGCTGTGCTTTGAGAGCTGCCTCATGCAGAGGTGTCTACGTCTCTACCAGCTCTTCTTGCAGATAATTGTTCTAAGCTAAACCAGAGCTGTGCTGTGTGTTTCCTAGGAAGAGGAGTAAGACTCTACTACATTGGTGGAGAGGTGTTTGCCGAGTGCCTTAGCGACAGTGCCATTTTTGTCCAGTCTCCCAACTGCAACCAACGCTACGGCTGGCACCCAGCTACAGTTTGCAAGATTCCACCAGGTAAGGAAGGATGCCTGGTCTGTGATCCTACACGGGCCTCCCCCTTTGCAGATGAGGACTTGCTGTGGAAAGCCAGCTCTTGGTGAAGGTGGGCATGGTTTTGCTGACCTTGGTTCTTGGCAATAATCAGAAACTTTTACCCTGTTTATAAGCAACTTGACAACTCAAGCAGGGCATTTTCTTGTAGCATAAAGAATGAAGGTACTGATAAAAGAAGCTACTGCATCTGCTCCATTAAGTGTTTGCACTACATTTTACAGGTAGGAAGAAACAGTACTCCAGGATTTAAGCTGAACTAAGCAGAATCTGCCACTTGTTCCATGCAGTGTTTTATCAGCCCAGTACTGTGTTATAATTGTGATAGCCATGCTTGTAATTTGGTTTGTACCTTAAAGTAAAAGTCTACAATGTAAAATTTTTTTCTTCATTTAGATTCACCCATAATAAATTTAAATTGATACTTTTTACTGTTCTGTAGTAAAACCTCCCCCATCCTTTCTGAATTTACATTCATTCTAGGGAAATCTCATTTGCAGGCACCTTGCAAACGTCTGTCGAAAGTGTGCTGGAAGATTACAAGAGAATTTATTGCATCTCTCTAGGAAGAAAATACTTCTTTTGTTAGATACAAGCAAAAGAGTTAGTATGAGAGGATGCCATTTGAAATGGAATTTAGCTGGGCTTACAGAAGCTGATTTTTTTACAGTTGAAAGTATGTGTCTATTTAAAAACTAACCATTTTTGCTTAGAAATATTTGAATAAAGATTGTCTTTCTTTTGAGAAGAGATCCACACACTCCAGGCTCTGGCCCATCTTAATGGGTTTCCTTTCTCAGATACTTAGGAAGCAGCTGCCAGTGTTGCAAACATGACTTAATTCTCCAGCCACATCACAAGAGTCCACCCGGCTGGAGTCAACATCTGAAGACATAAACAACCCACATTTCCGCTGCAGATTCATCTAAGGCACATGTTTTGGACTCCAGCTCTCCCTCCTTTTGCCACAGCCTTTGGCCACCTTCTCAGACTCATTTTCAAATCTCTGCTCGGTTTGAAGCAGTTTCTTCATTCCCTTGTTGACAGGATGGAGTTGTACCCACTCCTCCTAGGCACAGTCCTGGAGGAACCTGTTCCCAGCCTGTCCTGGAGTCTGAAGAGCTTGGCAAGCAGATCCTGATCAAGTTTTATGGTTTCTTTGCAATAGCTCTGCCCAGTCAAGCCCCAGTGCTCTCACCCTTCTTATTTCCCCACCTTGGTGTCCAGTATGCCTGACACAGCATCCCTTCAAACCCTCTGCAAGATACGTGGCTCTTGGGCTGTGCTTTTTTATGGTCTCAGAAATGGCTGGTTGGTTCTGCAGCTGCTGAGCTGTTGCATGTGGTTACACTTTGCTATATGCAGTTCGACCCAAAACAGATGACAGTATGAGTCCAGCCCAGGAGAGTAGGCTTAGAAGTGATTTTAGCAAACTACAATTCATCACAGTCCAAATGGTTGTTTTTCAGACTTGGCCCATATGTGATCCCAAATGAGCATTATTTGTGCGCCAAGTCTCCGAGTTTAACTTGTTTATGGTTAACTGAGAGAAAGCAAGAGCAGCAATGCTTTTTTTTAAGAGTTGTGTATTTATTTATGTATTTAAACTGAGGGATGTTGTTATATTTCAATACTTTATCACCTCAGAACTGTTGGATCATAAAATCACAGGCTGGTTTGTGTTGGAAGGGACCTTAAAGCTCCTCCAGCTCCAACCCCTGCCACGGGCAGGGACACCTTCCACTAGAGCAGGTTGCTCCAAGCCCCTGTGTCCAACCTGGCCTTGAACACTGCCAGGGATGGGGCAGCCACAGCTTCTCTGGGCACCCTGTGCCAGCGCCTCAGCACCCTCACAGGGAAGAGCTTCTGCCCAAGAGCTCATCTCAATCTCCCCTCTGGCAGGTTAAAGCCATTGCCCCTTGTCCTTGTAAAGAATCCCTCTCCAGCTTTGTTGTCAGCCCCATTAGGTGCTGGAAGGCTGTTGGATAAGTTGTTCTCAGTCTTTTAGCTGAGTCTAAACACTGGGGGGAAAAGTCAAATTTTAGAAGTTGTTCCTTAGGCACTGGCTGAATTTAGGAGAGGATTACAGCAGAAGCAGCGCTGCTGTCAGCCTTTATAACCCTGGATTTCTGGCTTGCCAGAGCAGTTCCACTTCAGAACTTCTCCATTACTTCTGCTGATGGCCCACATGTAAATCCAGCAGCAGTGAGTTCTTGGGTTTAGCCTGTGCATTCCTTTCTTTTCAGGCCCTTTAGCAATTGCTCTTCTGAAGTGTTATGGTCCTAGTTAGGCTTCTAAATTACAGTGTGAGGGAAATGATTGTAAAGGAGATAGAGGAAGGTTCCATATGCAGATCCTAAGTCTGGTCTCATAGATCTCAATCTGCTGTGTGGGCTCTAGCATTCATCATTCTCTGTCTAACATGGTTTTCTTCCTTTTCAGCATATGAGCGGTGGAAATGTGGCAACCTTGATTCCTGTTTCTGAAATGCTGTGTTTAAACAGTCTGTGTACAGTATCACGTGTTCTGAGGATATGGGAGAGCAGCACAGTTTCTTTCCATCCTTAGAGATGGCTTTCTTAATCTAGTTAAGCTAATGCCTTGTTCCTGTCATGTTGTTTTCTCACAGGATGTAACTTGAAGATTTTTAACAACCAGGAATTTGCCGCTCTCTTGGCTCAGTCTGTGAATCAGGGCTTCGAAGCTGTGTACCAGCTGACCAGGATGTGCACGATTCGGATGAGCTTTGTCAAGGGATGGGGAGCAGAATATAGGTGAGACCCTACAAATGAAACTCTAGTGCTTGCCACTGCACCCCTGTGTTCCACAGCTTAGGACAGTGTCCTACAAAGCTACTTTACTCAGCTTTTAAGTAGAGGGGAATTAGCACAGCGTCTCTTCAGTAGTGCAAATCATAGCATCATGGAATGGTTTGTGTTGAAGGGACCTCAAAGCTCCTCCAACTCCAACCCCTGCCCCGGGCAGGGACACCTTCCACTAGAGCAGGTTGCTTCAAGCCCCTGTGTCCAGCCTGGCCTTGAACACTGCCAGGGATGGGGCAGCCACAGCTTCTCTGGGCAACCACCCGCGTAGTAGAGAATCATACTATACACCAGAGAAGACCACATGTATTTGGGCACAGTGTTCTATGAACCAAGAGCTTTACCTGAAGCACAGCAGATAAATCCAGATGACCTGTGTAGGAACTATTACTTTGGTTTTTCTTTAAATTAGATTTATATTTGATAGTTTGAGTGTCTTACAACTACGCTGTTATCAGGCAGGATCAGTGTTGAGTGCTTCCTAATAGACATGGGTTGGGTTTGATGCTTCCTTTATCAGAAACTAACAGAGTTAAAGTAAAAGCAGATTGGTTTGAAAATATATATATGGAAGAACTGTTAAGACTTGCTGCACAATTATAGTTAAAATTCCTCATCCTTTCCTTAGTGCTTGTCGTAGGGCAATTGCTTCAATGTGACCGGAGGCAGTGGGATAAACAGGGTTACAATTTTTACAGTGAATATTGAAGCTAAAAAAGGGGATGTGGTGCAGGGTCTGGTGGTTATTCTGACGACACAGGGGACGGGGGACATGGTGCAAGGGATGAGAGCTCCGTGGCTGGTGTTGCTGTCGCTCCTCAGCCAGCCAGTGTCCCTGGGTAGCAATGGGACTGAAATCAGCGTTTAATATTACAAGCAAGAGAGATGAAATTCGTTGGAAAATTAATGTTGTTTTACGAGAGCTGGCAAAGATTTAAGCCAAATGTGATTTTGAAATACTGACTCGAGTGTGTACCCTTTAAATCTGTGGCCTTCCTTGAAGATCCGGGGCAGCCCCTGCCTCCCCGAGCCGCAGGGCTGTCTGCCCGTGCTCCCCTTGCGCGGCTGCCGTAGTATCAGCTGGAGCCTGCGCCCTGCACGTTACTCTCCCACTTTCTTCATTTCTCCAGATGTTTGGAGTCCATTTTGTTTTGAAATTGTCCTGCACCCGGGCCAGAGCATTCAGCCCTGGCTCACAGCCACGCTCCTAATGAAACCCAGATGAGCATGACTTACGGAAAGTCAACTATCTCATTAGAGCATTGGAGTCAGTGAAACCCTATGCTTGCACTGACTGCGCCGAAGCTGCTCTCTTGCTCCTTCATTTCCTTGCCACAAAATACTACATCTAATTGCCTTTGTCAGAGCACGTTTGTTTGTTGAACTGATTCATGCATGAGAATGGTACTGCATGAGCGGCATCCAGAGTGCTGTTCCAGTGATTTCTGGTTCAGCTCTTTGGCCGTTGGAGCAGTCTAACTGGTGGGGTGTTTAGTGCTCTGGTGTGCCAGGGATTTGGTGGAGGGAAGGGGGGGAAGCCAATTGCACAAGCAGCCCATGATACAGACTTTCTCCTTTGTGCAGTGAGAGCCCACAGGCTGAAGGTGTGGATGGGGAGCTTTGAGGGTTGCCTTTTGGGAAGGCTGGAGTCAATAGGTTGGTCATCTTGGTGGGAAGGCTGAGTGAAGTTGCCCTGATACATTTGCAGAGGGCAGAAGTGCAGCAGCCCCATGGGGAGTGGGTCTCTGTATGGTGTTGCCAGAAGGGTTGTTGGATGGCTCACACTGGTTTCAGGCAGCAAAGGGGAATGCTTTGTGCTAAGTTAAGGGAGACTAGGTTTTCCTTGGACCTGGGAGGCTTGTGTGCTTTGCTGACAGAGTGAGAGGTGCTCCACTCCCTGTCCTGCAGTCCTCTTGCCTTGAGACACCCTTTAATGTAGAAGACTTCACCACATGAAGTGGCTGCATAGGCCAGGCCCTGTCGTACACCCACTCCTGGGCATGGCCTGAGCGGGAATGGCTGGGGTGCATCAGGGGTCTGCTTCCATCCTCAGTTCAAAGGAAGAGAAGTGTGGATTCATCAGCAGGACGGGTCAAAGCCCTGTAGAGCTGTGCCCGGAGCCCGATAAGGGGCAGCGGGGTGGTGGGAGCCCAGGGCAGCCTCCCAGAGCAGAGGGTCCCCTTTGCAGCAGCGGTTTGTCCCTGGGCCCCACAGACTTTGCCTTCTCCCTCCCACAGGCAGATTCCAAGGACAGCTTCTGTGGGAAGTGAGGGTGTCAACCAAGGCTGTTTCCAGGCTGGTTCTCTCTCTTCGTAATCTTCCTCCTCCACAGCAGCTGTCCCTGCCTCTGTGCCTGGAACAAGGCTTAGGCCATCCCTCGGCAGAGGAGGGAGAGCCCTGTGCCCTGTGCCTTGGCCTCCCTTCCCTTCCTCCACATCCCTCCCTGCTCTACCATCTGGAGACACTCCATGGGGTCTGGCCTCAGGGAGAGTAACAGAGAGGGGGACAGGAGAGGGGGAAGGTGCTTTGTGGCAGGGGGTGTGCAGTGACCCAGCAATACAGCCCCCTCTGCTCTGCAGCCGCATCCACCAGCTCTGGAGGGATTTTAAAACATGTTTTATTACCACATTTCTGCTTTTCTGAGAGAGTTTGCAACCTTTTACAGTCAGCAGCATTTCTGCTGCTTTCCAGGCAGCCGAGCAAGCACAGGTCTGTTGGAGAGGCCCTACACAGCACATGTAGAGTAGGGTTCAACCATCCAGCACATGCTCCTGAGCTGTGCAGAAAGGCTGCTCAGCAGCAGCTCCAACTGCACAGGGGCTGCAGGGGAGAGTCCAAAAGGCTGCCCGGGGATCTCTTCGGCACTTCTATGTTCTACCAGAACATACAGATAAGGTAAAATTGGCTTATAGACAGGGACATTTAACTTACTTGGTAACATGCTTTGGTGTTGTCTAATCAGGAGAGGCAAACTGAGGTCTGTAAAAGAACACTGAAGAATTTTTCTTAGGTAAACACGTTCCATTCCATTCAGGGAGTCCGATGCTGCTTGTTTTCAGGGATCTGGGTAGTAAATAGGCTGTGAGCGAGCTGCTCCTTTGGGATCGTAAGAAACGTAAAGAGGAAAGGTAGGGATTTTAAAAGCAGTTGGCAGTGAAGGCCAGAAGCGTGTTACAGAGGAGAGAGACATTCCTTTGGCCTCGCATGCAAGACTATTGTCTAAGCAGGAAAGAATGCTTCAGTAGCTGTAAAACCTCTTCACATTTGTAAAGTTTTGTTCTCTTTTTCCTCTTCTCTCCCCACTGCCCCTCTTTCTCGCAGGCGGCAGACTGTGACCAGTACTCCCTGCTGGATTGAGCTGCATCTCAACGGTCCTTTGCAGTGGCTGGACAAGGTCCTCACACAAATGGGCTCCCCGAGCATTCGCTGTTCCAGCGTCTCCTAAGGAAGCATCTCCTGGGGATGGGTGGGGGGAGCAAAGACTGGAAAATGGAATTGGCTTAACCCTTGGTAAAACACATAGTAAACTAATTCCCAGTTATCGAAGTGATGAGAAAACAATCTGCTAAAAAGGAAGCGGGTTTGCTTTGTTTTGTTTTGTTTTCTATAAACTAAATACCCATTTAAGCCACTTCCACTGAACCCATTAGCACTTTGGTTCCAGCACTCTGGGCCTTTGCAGTTAGAATTTGAGGCTGAAGTTTGTCATGATGAAGAACTGGACTTTGTTTCAGCAGAGGGGAGGCAGTGCTCTGCCTCCAGCCACCCGCTCCACGCTGCTGTGAGCACTCGGGAACTGCCGAGGGGTCAGAGGAAGCTTCCCATTTGCCTCACACAGCTCCAGGCTCCTGTCGTGCAGCGCCTCTGAAAAGCCAGATACCGTGGGACTTCGGGATGAGTCTTTCTTGTGCATTCCCATCACCACCCACCCAATCCCTGCCTGTCCTCCCTGGGACTGCAGCAGGAAGGGGGAAAAGGAAGCGGCTAAAGCACACAAAAGAACTAATTCCCCCAATAATGCTCCAAAAAGGAATGAATTTCCAACGCTGGACTCCTAACAAGGAGACAGAGTCTTGTTCCACGCCTGAGCGATGCAGCTGATACCCTGATGGTCTCAGACTGGATTGACAAGAAGTAAAAGGACAAACTGAAGGCTCCTCTGATAGTGCTGCAGAGATGTTTGACTTGAGCTGCTCACAGACAGACATTCGTCACGTGGAGAGCTCTGCCTGGCTAAGTTAAGCCTTCATTACCCTGCAGTCGGGGTGCATTAACCACCAAAAATCTGCATTCTGTTTTCTCAGTCTGTTGGATGGGATCTGCCACTTCTGGAGACTTCAGGGCTTCATGACTTCAGTGTCCAGGTCTGCTCTAGTGATGGGAGTGAACAGGCCCTCACGGCTGCTTTCAGCATACGCAGTTGAATAGGTAGTCTCATGCTGTCACATGTGACTGCACATGAACCAGGACATCTCAGACACAAATCCCCTCTGTTTAAAACGTATTTCAGCTGATTCAGATGCTCTGAGATGTGCTTTTGCCTGGAGAAATTGCGAGAGAGTGTATTTACTTGTATTATAAAATGTTCATTGTAAACATACATGCTCCAGATTGTTTAATATTTTTTTCCCTGCAGCGACTGTCATGGCAAACAACTCCCACAACTGGAAAAAAACAACCCTCAGCACTTGTTTTTATGGTTCACATTTGCCAAATAAGTCTCATAACTTCGTCAGTGCTATCTAATTATCTGTTTCTTTATATCTGCATTGAATATCATATGCATTTGTGCCAAACTATTAGAAGGGGGAAGGGAGAAAGTGATAATCAGTTTCCTATGGAAATCTGTTTTGTGGTTTTTGGTTTTAAATACAAAAGGCAAACATAGGAGCTAGATCTGGCTCTGGGAAGGACAGACCCGGATGGGCTTTGTGTTCAGGCTTTAGTCCTGTTGTGCTCCCAGATGCAGACTCAAGCAGCACCACCGAGTTCAGCAGCAGTTTTCCTGCAGTGCCAGGTTGTGGTTTGCAGCTCCAGAGCGCCGCAGTCCCACATGGGTGCCAGCTGCAGTAGCATTTCAGACACCCATCAGGAATTCCCAAGTACCTGCCTGTCCGTAGAGGCTTTTCCTTTGAGACCACTCTGATACCAGCCCCACTGCCTGGTCTGCAGAAACCCAACTTGGACCTGAGCGTCAGCAAAACAGGGCATGAAGCGCCCCATGTGCAGCAGACCCAGGAACAGACCATCCACGAGGCTCTCTGCTGGTCTTTGTTCTACCAGGCACACCAAGGGATGCTGTAGAGAGGTATCTCCTGGAAACAAGTGACATTTTGTACATGACATTGGAATTCCGAGGAAGACACACAGTGGTGGACGGGCTCCTGAACCATCCAGGAATATCCTCTCGTGGAATTTGGACTGGAGCTCTCACCGTGCCACATGGCTTGTGTCATAGCGCTGGAGGTTCTCTAGGACTTTCATTGTTTCAAGCTTTTGTAACGTGTTTGATTTTAGTTAAATCTCTGATTGCATGGACCTGTGCAATAGGAGCACCTGTATCAAATAGTGTTTTCTAGCCACTTAAACAGTAGGTCTGTCTGTTGCTGAGGATGGATTTGGCGTATTCTTTCAGACGCAGGTTTCTAACATAGTCACAAGCAAAATTTATCCTGGCTTTTGTGACTTTGAGAAGAGTTCTACTGAGAGGGGGAAAGATCTGCTCTGTAAGATGGCCCCAGGTTTCCTCCCTGAGTGTCTGTAAGTCATATTTGCTCATTTTAGCCAACAAGCAGTTTTCATTGTCCACATAATCCTGGAGGAAGCTGGACCCTGTGAAGCCTTGTGCATTAGCAACAGAAATGACATCTTAAATTTCAGTGTCAGGTGATGGTGCGTGCAGGAACCTGGCCTGGCCCAGAAGCTACAAGCTGGAATAAACCCTGACCATAGCATGAAGCCAAACTAAGATTTGGGCCTGTATTTCTGGTAGGAACCAGATTTATATCTTCTACTTGATAAAGGATAATTAATTGCTGTTACTAATAGCTGCCTTTTGAAAAATGGGATTTGGGTTGCGCATAAAGACTTTGGTTAATCTCACCTCGTCATCCCCCAAGTTAAATGACTTCAAATGGAAAATGGAAGCTGGTCCAGCAGCAGTTAGATAAAACGGAGAGGATTCTCTCTAACTCATTTGTATCATCCTCTTCATCAAACAGAGAGGATTTCTCACTAATTCATAAAAGCTTTACGGTTTCTAAAGTTGCCTTATAAAGTCAAAGTCCTGGACCATGCAAAGAGAGAGGCTGGGGAAGGGCTGGGATGCAGGGGATGGTGTGGTTGAGCTTCCTTTGATGTTGCACAGCTGAAGTGGATGGGGCACATCCCCTTCAGATGTGAAACCTGCTCAGTGGCGCCGCTGGCCAGGACACTAACGCGAGGGAAGAGGCGGCGTTTGGCCGGAGCTGACGGCGGGTTTCCCTGTTTTCCTAAAACTTCATGGAAATAGCTTTGGTATGTAGCACAGAAGTATTCGGTCAGCCACGGCCTAGCTTAGATTCCATGTCTGTACTGGAAAATCTTCTCATTTAATGGTAGTCTTGGCTAGTTTCACCGTATTTCAGACATTTTTGTTACTAGTAGAGAGTCACTAGCAGGAACTTGGACTCTCTTAAATTGGGGTAGCCACACACAAGGGCCTGGCTGCTGGCAGATGACACTGATGGCCTTGTGGTTTTACATGACTGTGGTCTTGTTCTGTTTTGTTTGGGTTTTTTTAATTATTATTAATGTATTGAACTGATTTTGGTTTGTATTTTGTGTTAAGCTTAGAAGTAATCCAGTGCTGTTCATTTGATTTAATCTCCAGGAATCAGCATGGCTGTGTACAAAGGTGGAGAAATCTAACCGTAACAGATCTCCCCAGCGCTCTGGCTACCCCTACGTGCCATGAAAAGGCTGGGGGTAACCTTGGAGAAAGAATGACAAAGAAGTTAGTTTCCTCTCCCCTTAAGGATCAGCATAGTGTGACCCACACAGAGTCCTTTGCAGGGTGAAGAACACCCAGGACTCCAGCAAGTGTTGACACAGCGCCTTGTCCTACTTACTAGCTGGGAGAGCACAGGGAGGAAGAGGAGCCCAGCTCAGTGAAGGACTGCAGCCACATCACAACACACCCGTGAGCTTCCCAGGTCTCTAAGGTACTGGATAGGGAGGAGGAATGGGATTTCACAAATAAGCTGGTAAGCTAGAATGAGAACTAATTAGTCACTATCATAGCTGATTGAGCGGTATGGTTAAGAAGTTCAGTAGATGTTTTTTATCATGTACGTGCTTTTGTATTTATGTTGTCTTTCTGGAATATTCAGATGAATCAAATACTTAATTTTGCCCAGAAAGGGCAAATAAGGACTCAGAGTATTGAACCTTTCAGGTGTTCCTTCGGGTGATTGCTAGAAATTAGGAAGTTTGATGTGAGAATAAGAGATTCCCTCAGACCAGAGCAACAACCCCTGGTGACTAGAGCAGAGCAAGAACTTCCCCAGCAGGAGCCTTCACCCGAGTTACTGTTGTACCTTTTAACACCCAGTCAGGTTCCAGAGTTGTGCTCTGCGGGTCTGCTCTGATGTATGAGGCTTTAGAAATCTGACAGTAACAAATTACTCCATAAATGGTTTTGGTTCATCTTACATTTCCTCCAGTACGTGGCTACTAGAGGAGCCTGCACCAGTCCCTGCTGCTCACTCTCCCCGTGGCAGCATCCTGCTTTCCTCCTTTGATAGATATGTACGAGCATGTTTGCATTAGTTTAGACTTTCTTAACCTGAGACTGTATGTTAATGGGCAGTGCTGCCTCCTACGTGCTTTAGCTTGTTACGCATTATCACCTATTTTGTTACTAAAGGCCTGTACTATGTATGCCCTCCTCTTTCCTATGTGAAACTGTAAGTTCTATTTTTGACATTTTAATAAACTTTGATTGGAAAACGGAGGCTCACGAGAAATAACAATATTGTCAAAATATATTTAAGGACACAATTGGAGTTTTGAAGCCACAGATAATTCAGAGGCAGCAGCATCTTTAGGTGTGTGTAATGGAGGTTATTCCCAGTAATCCATGTGACATCTCAGTTGCAGGTAAGAGCTTTGTCCTTCTTACAGTTTGGATGGTTTTGCTTAGGAATTTAAAGCCAGATATAAAAAAGTGATTAAAAATACAACTAGTTCTTTTACCTAATGGGATTCAAAGGTGAGTGGAAGTGGAGCGCTCTGGCTCTAAGGATTTACTCCCATCTTAATCTCTCAGGCAGAATATTTTTGGCCATTACTCCTCATAGCAGGTGTCTGGAGTCGCTGGTGATGACGTTGCTCCTCTCCTCACTCGAGGAGCTTGAGCAGTGGTGGCTGCAGGGTTGGGGAGTCCTTTGCAGAGATCTGGGTGCCCTGGAGGTGTCCCTGTTGCTGCTGCCACTGCTGGGAGGCAATTCCAAGCCATGAAATGTCCAGGGAAGCAGCTGTTCCAGTGGAAGGCAGGTCGGGTGCCACAGCGTTAGGCTGGCCTTGGAGAGAGCGCTCCCCAAACACCATCACTGCCAGAGCCAAGGCACACGGTGATCTAATTCCATGAGCTCCTAATGTTCCTCTGAGGTTTCACTCAAACTCAGGGAGATTTTTTTGTTGTTTTCCTGACAGGATTTACGAGAATACTTTTTCCATTCACTTTTCCAACAATGTGGTCATAAAAGGGTCTTGTCCAGGTTTTGTACTGGGGTTGCCAGAACTCAAGTGTGATGTAGTAAATCAGCTCTGAGCTGCAAGCTCTGCTGGATGTCACCTGAACGTATCGTGGATTTCAGGATCACAGTCTTGTCTGCCCTAAAATGGGAAGTTGGAGCAAAATGCAGGTTTGATTGTAAATGAAAAATGTCAAAGCCTTTCTTTGCCAAAACCAAGAGTGAATCCCAGTTGCACAGAGGTTTCAGTTCAGGCAGAAGCTGGGTCACAAGCCTTGGTCTGTACAGGCAGGAGAGTCTTGCAGGTGTCATCCTGCCCCTTCACCGGGGCTGTACCGAAAGCTGAAAGGCCCGGCCAGAACTGGGAATTCCCTCCCAGCCCTTGGTTACCCTGGAACTGGGGAGCGTTGCGGCTCCAGATGGAAACCTGCTCACTGTGGGCGCTCAGGACCCACACGTCTTTAACCTGCTCAGAGCAATCTACGGTTGTCTGAGATACACGTCACTGTTACTGCATGTAAGTACCATTTTCTCCTTTAATAATGTTGTTGAACACAGCATTTCTGTAGCCTTCAGAGTTGAAAGGTCGCAGCAACCAGTGGCATGCTTGGAGTTGGTCAGTTGAGTTTTACTCTCGATTTATTGTATTTATAATGACCTAACAATTAATTTCCTCTGCACTTTTGCCATTTATCACTATTGCACAACAAGCGTTCAGGAAGGGAAAAACAAGTCTTGAGCTACCAAGAAACAAACATGGAAAACCATTCCCTACTTGGAAGGAACCCCCTTCAGTCCTTCGTTACAGCTCTCTGTGCATGGGGTAAGATTCATGGCAAGGCCCAGGGCTGTTCTCTATCATCCTGTTGGGAAGAGGTGGCCCTGAGAGGTGTGTTCCCTTGAATGTCTCCGTGGGTATCCCTGTAAAAGGAAGATTTCTTCTTAAAAATAAGAATTTTACTGTGGTGGAGCTACTGCTCAGTCCTTGCATGACAAATGCTTCTCAAACCGCTAACAAGGCTTCAGATCTATCTCTTGAAGACTTGAAAACGCTGCAGTGTTTTCCCAGGGAATGATTTACAACATTCCAAAGCAGCCTGTTCCTGTAGCGCTGCTTAATCTTAAAAGAAGAGGCAGTGAATGTCAAGAACCACTGTGAAAGTGCTTTCAAAATGTAAAGCTGTCAAATAACTTACGCAGAGACACTGTCTCGAGATCACGAAATTTATTGACATGAAAAAAACAAGACATTGGAAAACTTAATTTCAAAATTCCTGAATAAGATTGCTTAACGTGGCATTTTCAGACTGATAAGGAAATGCTCTTGGGGGAAATACGTATCATTTTATAGGGTGGGCCAGGCAAGCACCAGAGAAGGGCTGATTCTTCAGCAGGGGGTCTGCTCGCTGTCTCTATCCATGTATCTGACAGCTGAGTGCAGAAGGAGACAGGATGGGATTTACCTTTCTCCTCTCCTTCCCTCACCAGCCTAATGCCTTCCTTCTTGTCTTCCACGTCCCTCGCATGTTTATGCTCTCCAGTCAGTCTGTGGCTGTGTGCCAGTGCAGGAGATGACAATGTTGTTGTCAAATACTGTCATCAACAGATGACAGCGCCTAAAGGGGCCTACGAGAAATCTGGAGAGGGGTTTTTGACAAGGGCCTTTAGGGACAGGACAGGGGAATGGCTTTAACCAGCCCGAGGGGAGACTGAGATGAGCTCTTGGGCAGAAGCTCTTCCCTGTGAGGGTGCTGAGGCGCTGGCACAGGGTGCCCAGAGAAGCTGTGGCTGCCCCATCCCTGGCAGTGTTCAAGGTCAGGTTGGACACAGGGGCTTGGAGCAACCTGCTCTAGTGGAAGGTGTCCCTGCCCGTGGCAGGGGGTTGGAACTGGAGGAGCTTTCAGGTCCCTTCAGCCCAAACCAGGCTGGGGTTCTAACAGAATTCTCATAGAAGGTCTGTGCATTCTGTTAGGCCTTGCAGGCCAAGCAGTGCAGAAGGTTTGGGCAGGGAACTTCACCCCTGGAACAGCAGCAAAAATCTGTCTGGCATTTAATCCCAAATTCAGTTTCTAATGGCAACCCCGGGAGTGTGGCACAACACGTGATCTCCCGGGAAGGACCACTTACTTACAGCCACAAACACAATTCCAAGCCTGTGGGCCATTTTTCATAGCTTTGGCACTCAGCAGGTTTAACCTTGCAGCCTTGGCATGGCAGCCCACAACAGGCACAATTCAGCAACTTTCTCTTCATGGCTCATATAAATCTGGTTTGTTTTAACTAGTAAGTCAGCTATAAAGCCACATAAAAACATCAATAGGCCTACATCTAAAATGTTGAGTTTAGAATTAAGTAGTCACTTCACCAGCAGCAGCCATATGTAGGGAGAGAACCAGCAGTGAACCTGCTTATTTAAACTCAAAAGAGGAAACAATGAAAATGTTAATTTGGAAAACGTAAAGGGATTATTATTTCCTCTAAGTGCTCGTGTCGCCTTCCAGGATTCTCTCTGAGAGAATAACTGAACAGTCAGACAAAACCACTCTAACATTAGGTGCTGTGGAATGTGTAACTTCCTACAGTGATGCAGGGAGGCCTTTAACCAAAGAAAGAAACTAAAGCTAAACAGGGCTTTCACAATGAACACTCATGGCAGGAAAAGATCTCTCTTTGAGGGCTGCTCTGGTGCTTACAGCTACAGAACTCAGTTTTCCTCATCCGAGGAGAGACCTTCAATTTCATCTCTGTCTCCTCCAATTGCCATCCAGAATGCTTTGGCCACCTAAAAACAGCAAAAGAAGATGGGAAAGGGGGAAAAATTTCCCTCAAGTGACTGAAGATTTTGCACTTGCCATCCAGAAAACAGAAACTGAGCAGCAGCTAAACACAGCAACCACGGTTCTAAGTACAGTGCTAATCCTCTCTGAAGTGAAGAAATGTCAGCAACACAGAGGTGGTAATGTGGAATTCATGGAGGCACATCTGATACCAGCCCTGTGCTAATTAAGGCATATTAAATTTTCCTTGAGCTCAAGGCTTTTCCGTTGACTTAAATGGAAGCTGACTTGCACCTTTGGTGGCTGCAGGGCCTCATTTCAGACATTCTGACAGGGGAAAGCCTCTTCCAGTGTTTCAGAATCCCCCATTTGTTACTCAGTTCTTGGGAGACAGGAGACAGTCTTCCCGGGGACTGTGTGCTTTGTTCTTACTACTCTGAACATAGGAACTCTACAAGAGAAGTAATGGCTTAGAAAGGAAAACCCCAGTTGTAATAGTTTCAGCAGCAATTTCAAACCCTCACCTTTTCTGCGTGTAGTTTCCTCTGCTCATGAGGCAACGTTGCAGCTTTATCTGTGGAGAAGAACAGAATTTAGGCTGTCACTCTCAGGGGTGAGCAGGGAGAGAAATGCCTCTTGCAGCTGGGTTTGGGGGAATACCAAGAAATTAGTTTAAGATCATCAAAACTGAATCCTATTTAGTAAGAGCAACTGCAATTCCCAAATGCCAGAAAGCCGATGTTTCTGAGCGCGCTGGGTTCCACCTCTAACATTTGTTGCTTTGAACTGCAAGACTGGGAGATAGTTACAGGTTTGTTTCTAGAAAGCTGTAGCATTAGTTCATGGTGAACAAAATCAGTGTGAAGCAGCCAGCTGAGCAATAGCTACTTCCTTCACTATCAAGTGAAGGGCAAATAATGAAAAGATTAAACAACCTCAGACAGGAGAACAGGAATTAGTACAATCTCCCCAGCTCCCACACTGGCTTTCATGCCTCTGAGTGTTTGGAATAGGTGATACAGCTCAGAACCTGGCACAGTACCTTTCATTTCTTTCAGCTTTGAAAACAGCCTTTCAAAGTTCTCCAGGTCACCCTCTCTGGTGGTCAGGCTGGCCAGCTCCTGAATGTCCGTGTCCAACACGGGGTCTGAAATAAATGCACATAGGTTGCTATAAGGTAAGTTACTTCATTTTGGCAGCAGGTATCAAAGCCTTTCTGATGCACCCAGTATTGTAACACCTGCAAAGCCCAATTGCAAATTCCAGCCCCATGGGAGGGAAAGAAACATTTAATTTACTGACTGTTCATACAGACAACTCACAGCATCATTACAGTGGTAATTAATTTTGATACATTATGTTGCAAGAGTGTTTTTGAGTTCATCCAATATTTAAGGTTTCTTGCTTATTATGAAATGATCTGTCTAGGAGCAGCCACGGAGTAAATTAAAGAGTAATGAGACTGTGCTTAGACCACAGCTAACAACACTCATCCTTTAGAATATCTCCATATAAAATGTGTAAGAAAGTCCCATCTCCTACAACTATTTAAGGACCTGTAGCTCAAAACACTTGAACTTCCTAGGGCTGACCCAAGCAGAGTGTGCTTCATTCACCTCCTGCTGGGTCAAATGCTAATGATTTTTGTCTGCAACCCTAAAGCTTGAAGCTTTATTCTTACATGGAAGTTTCTAGATATACACAATGCACATGGTATGTGCACCATGAAATGTCACCAAATCAGATCTGAATGTCTCCAGTTGGTAGTGCTGTAGGGGCTCTGTCCCATCCAAACTTAGGCCCATTTTTTCAGGGAGAATACCCAGACTCAGTAATTATGCTCTACTGACTGGGGCAAGCACATCTATCCCATACTTTTCACTGAGAAGAAGCCAGTGGCTTTCTGGGCCCATCCCAGGCAGGGTGCCTGCTCCAGTGTATCTGCCAAGCAGAAGAGCTTACCTGCGATGCTGTCCATCTGTAGGTTGTTTGTGCTAGCTCCATCTTCCCTGTTGTCTAAATGGGATTCTTCTCCGTCTGCTGATGATGGATTGGGCTGTCAGGAAACAAACAGGTATTAGAGTACCCAATAATGCACCTAAAATCAGCAGCAGCATATCAGGTGCTTCCTGTTTTGACTTCAAAAACAGTCTTTATCTTAAAACTGCTGCTTACTGCAAAACCTGTACCATGTACATTATGAAAAGCCACTTTGGCAACACTGAATAGGTACTACAGGAAGGTTATGATAGGTTTGTTGTTGTTTTTTAAATAACACTATCAAATGATAGGTTTTGGTTTGCACAAAACACTGCTCTTGCACGTTAATGAAAAACAACATGCACAACAGGCTATGAAGCACCCCTTGAGAAAGGAGGGAGTAAAAGCAAGCTACCACCACACCAAGTGTGACAACAGGGAAGAACAACACCAGAAACAGTATGAGCAAAGAACAAGAAATAGGAATTACTGTTTACTTCTGTATCTTGGCTCTCCTCTGACCCGATGCTACAGTTCGCACCCGCTAACGTGCTGAGAAGACCAAAGCCCTGGGTCCTGTCTGGAAACAAACAAGCAGTTAGTGTGTGACAGAAGATGCAATGTTAATACAAATGGTAGCTGACCAGATGGGATAGAGAATATTTCAGGGAAGACACACAGCACCCTGTGGAACTGGGTCAGTGCACTGCAAAATGTATTTTAAGCAAAAATTTATCATATTCTGTGTTTTTAAACTATACTCACAACATTTACTGTTATGTGTTACTAACAGGGATTACATGTGCAGGGCACAAGAGATGTGAGGTCTTCTTTCTTCTTATGTGAAGTCCCTGCTCTGTTAGGATTTAGTCTGGCAAATGCCTTTGATTCCAAACAAGGCAGTTCTCAAAATACAGAAGCAGCACCTGCTGTTTGCTGATGCTCCGTGGACCGGGTTTCACCGTCTGTGGGAAGCAGCGCTGGCTTTGTGGTTAGGTACAGGAAATGCAACAAGTGCCTCTGCTTGTACACATGTTGTCAAAACAGGTTGAGCACTAGCGTAATGCAAAGGCAGTTCTTAAATACCTAAATACCTAACTCGGAATTCGTGGAAGGACCCAGCCATCAAATCCAGTGTGTTTTCACACTGCCAGGTGTCCACATCTGCTCACCCGCTGGGTATTTCAGTGGTGTTTTAAATCCAACCAAAAAACCCCAGTGAATTCAAATACAAAACTAAACAATCATCTAAGGTAAGAGATGCAGGGCAGTATTTTTAAATTAAACAAACTGTATTTTTAGAACTTTATTTTAAAATAAAATATATGCATAATGGATAATATGATGAGGGCTTCTTTCCTAAGTCATGTTTTCAGCTGGCCTGGCATTGGGTAGGGAATAGCTGCAGTTACACAAGGGACTGAGGAGGTTTTTCTGAAAATCCTTGTATTTTAGTCAACTAACAAAGAACCAGCATGAAGTTATTGTACTACAAAGAGCCAGGAAACAGTGACTTATGCCAGCAAAGAGATTAATATTACTTTTTTTCCCTAAAAAAAAAGTGTTCTGAATTATTACCCTAATGACTAAGCTCTAGCCTCAAACGCTGAAGTGATGTCATGTTCATGCACTGTCCAAAATGACTTGCCATTTATACAAAATCTCATTTTGAAGAGCTGAATGTGTAACCAAAGCCATCAGCTCTCTAGAAAACATGTAAACACGTCTCCATTAGAGAATTACTAAGCCCTCATTTCCTGTTTAATAATCTCCACTGTGTACTCAGGCTAATGCGTGTCCTGTCCCAGCCCTCTCCCTCGTGCTCCCCCCAACCCCCAGCAGGTATTTGTTTCAACTTGCTCTGTTTTATAGGGTTTTACTGCTTTAACAGATCACTCAGCAAAGGTTTGGGAAGAAGCGAATCAGTCTAGTCAAAGGAATTGCCTTAAAAACATTCAGTTACAAGATGTGAGAGCCCGTGAAGTCCGACAGCCAAATTAACAGGCAATTGAGCTGCAAGACTGGGACTTCAACCCAAACCAAAGCAGCTTCCCCGAGTTTCAGCAGGCTGAGCAAAGAGCTGTCTTTTTGGGAAACTAAAGATGGACACTTCGCCAATGTCTGAGTCATCTGAAGCTAGATGGGACATTGCAGTCCAGAGTGTACTTGAGAGAGAACATTCCCACATCGGCAGCGGGGTGGATGAAGTGATCTAGTCATGTACCTCTTTCGTATCTATGATTAGAGTTCAGCCTGTACAGAAGGACAGTGGCCCCATCTCCCCCACCACCACATACACAAGACCTCAGCCAGCGTAATTGGAGAACATTGTCCCAGTTAGAAAGCACTGGAATCTCCAGCAGGGACCTCTCAAAGCAGCTATTTGTTTCTGGACCCGTGGTTAGGGAGGTGGCAGACATAACACTTGGTTGCAGGCACACCCTCAAAAGCCTTCCTAAAAACTCTTCTTTATTGGATGTAAAAATTATTTCAACTTCTGGGTGCAATTCAGGAAGTGGGTGATGCCTTACACAGTGTTCTTGCAGCATCAAAGCCAAAAATTATCTCACTCCACTTATTGTAATAGTTGGTGGCTCCAATATGATGGAGTCCGTAGGGTTTCACAGGTATTGCTCATTAGTACTTGCAGAGTTCGAGTGCACTGTGCTGTGAGCATGGCTCTGAGATTCATGTATGCTTGTTTCATGGCAAAATGTTTTCTACTGCCTTTATCTAGTGTTTCTCAAGTCTGTTTCTAGTTAGCATGTGGTGATCCCGATTTTCATGTAAAATTGGAATTAAAACATCAAAATTCATCATTTGTTTAAGTAACAAAGTTTAGTCCCCCTATATCAGGCTGTTGTTTTGTAAAGAGAGCCAGGCTCGTTCTTGGCCCCACCTCAGGTAACCAGCTCCAGCTGGGAGCACTAGAGCACCTATTTAAGCAGCAAAGTAGCAAGAAGCCTCTTTCAGAGGCCAGTAAGTCATTTCTCACTGCTAGGGTCAGTTAGCTTTGCCCTTCAAGCTAAGGACAACTGCAAAACGCTACCTTTGTCGGGGGTAGATGTTAGCTGCTTTCTACTCATGCTCTTCTGCACAAGGGGAAGAAAACCACCTGATTCTCAGATTGAAGAGAGCTCTGAGGCCTGGAGAACCAACAGTTTCATACCAATTCCAAAAAGGAATTGCCCTCTGGAGACTCTCAGGTAAGACTGCTTGGTTTTCTTTTACTGGAGACAATAGTACTTTGTCTATTTAGTATTACGTGATGTAAAAATGTTTATAACTCAGCTGTGCTGTATTTAATACCTGTTTTTATGAATTGATGAGAGAATGAATGTATTTAATGGTTACAGAAAAAAAAACCAAAAGGTCAAGACTCTTCTTAATAGATGTGTGAAAAACCTGCTTCACAACTTCAGAATTCTTAAATATTTAAGGTAAACAACCTTAAAATAATATGGGTATAATGCTTGTACTTAAAGAAAAGTCATTCCTGCCCTGTCTATAAACTTAATTCTCATACAAAGATAAGTAAGGCAATGCTGTAACACTGTTTTTTTGGATGGCTACACTTAACAGTGCTATAAGCATTTATTGCTACACAAATACGTTATGCTCTATGAAAAATCTTCACGTGAAGTATGACTCCATGGTTCCTAAATGGCCAGCAGCTAGAGGTAATTCAGCAAGTGTGATTTACACGGCAGCCTGTTTCCAGGATCAGGAGGAAGTTGAAAACAAAAGATCTGTTACAGGTCATAAAAAGTTTTATTTTAAGTAAAACGAGCTCAACAATTTCCCTTTGAAGGCGCAGTCAGGCTGCAACAACTTCCAAATATAGCTCCCTTCCTGAGGGGTTTGTGGCAATGTGCATCAATGCTGTGTGGTTCCTGCACTGTAGAGATAGAGAATGTGGATTTCCAAGGAGCCTGACTTTTACAGAACAAACTGATGATGCACAGGAATCTCCCCCATGAAGAACTGAACATGTGACTAAGTTCTGTTCTTCCATAATGTGGCATCTGTCAAATGCAGGAAACGTGCCATTAAGAAAACTATTTAGCACCAGTGAGAGAACTTCACACCATCTCAAATGGCTCTCTATTGCTGTAGGGTGGGTATGTTAAGTTAGAACCCACCTTAACCTCATCCTGATGGGGTATGAGAAACAAAAGGCTCCATTAAAAGAAAATGAAAGAAGTTTATCAGTTTACTAGTTTTCAGCCCAGTTCTACTGAGTCCCAGGAACCATCCTGCAGTTAGAGGAACTAACAGAAGCCTCTCGGCACCCAAAATCATTACACAGTTAAAAGACGTAGGAAGGAAGAAGCCCCAGGAGTGGAAAATTGCATGTCAGGGAGCAGACAGACACTGGAAGGTTACTGCTGGGATGGGGCTTTGTGAAAGAAGATTTAAGGACAAGCACTCCCCAAGCGTTGATCTTCCTACATTGCCTGCAACAGCTCGTGTTGTTAGAAAGGTAGTTAAAGGTTTCCAAGTAAATGGAAGTATTTCCACGTTACGTACCTCTCTTCATGACTACGTTGGACCACACGTTGGCATTCAGGGCTTGTACAATTCGCTTCACTCCGGTGGACTCTGGAAAGTCATCTAAACCAAAAAGACAGGGACGTTGTACTCCAGTAACTAGTCCAAAAACCATTACATGTCTGAAAGTAAGGAGCTGTGTGTCTGAATCCCTGTCCTGTCTTATCACAGCCAATATAAATTACTATTGCTGTTACGAAACACAGATTCTTGCCTTTGCTTCATGAGAGGCCAAACAAATCTAAACGAATGCCTCACTCCTGGTCTGGGCTCCCAGGCGTTACGAACTGTGAGCTCAGCCTTTTGTAGAGACACCCAAGTTCTCAGTGGGGGTTTGTTAAATATTTAGTGTGATGCCCACACCTGTAAGTAAATTTAACAGTAGCAGTTTTAAGTTGCTGTTAAAAGCAAGGTGTCTTTTACCCCAAGATCTCTGAGAATGCTGTATGGCATAAAAATAGATGCTAGAATTACTTTTCCCTCATTTATAAAGGACTTTAGTTAACCAATTGAAAAAGCTGCAATGCTTGTTGTAAATGATCATTGTAAAGCCATACCCACAACAGCTAACTCCAAGTGTTCCAGTAATCCTCTGCATGACAGTAACTGGAAAGACTAGGGAAAGCATTATTAGGACTTATTTACTGAATAGCTCTGACTCCACTTTGTATAAAGTCAGTTTTCCATTTCCTCAGTTTAGTCAGCTTCCCACGTTTGTGCAGGTCTCACAAAGCAATAGGGAAAAAAACAAACAAACCCGTTGGATACAAAAATGTGACTGCTTAAAAATGAACCTCCTCTAAGGATGACTCAGGAACAGGTGCAGTAATTGGAACTGCCCTTAAAGATGAATTTAAAGCTGTGTCTGACCCCTTAGATCAAGCATTTTGCCCTCTGATACTTCTGTTGAGTTCTGTATCAGAGTCATTATCAAGAGTCTCAGTTTAGAGGTCTTGTCCTTACCGCACAAACAACTGTCTGACAGTCATAGCAAGAGCTCCAGTTTATTTGTGATGAGCTACCAGAAATGTCCCACTTTTTAAACAGATATTGGCCCGGTGCATTTACTGCATCCACTGTATCTTTTGTAATTCATACAGCATGTTTATGGGGTAAATATGTTCCTCACTGGAATACTCTTCCTCCTATGCATGAGTCGCAGTGCACCAACTACTACATTAAAAATCCAGGAAAGAACATACCCTAATATTCCAAAGATTAACATCCTGGGTTGTTGTTCTTCCTATTACTTATGTTAAGTTGTAAATAGCTTGTTCTTTACATCAATTATTCAATAGAAAAATAACTTGACTTAATGTTACTAGTATTTCCTTTTAAAGCACTTCGTAAGAAAACTGTAGTGTAAGGGCTGTCCACCTCTGACTTTTCTGGTTCCTATAAATCAGAAGTGCTGGTATCCCCTCTCCTTGACTAACAAAGTCCCTAGAAGAAATGCACTTTTAAAGACACGATGTGGGGAGAAGGAGCATTCTTGGCCATTCAGGATACAAGTTGTATCTAGGCCCTTAACAAGGGGGAAGGGGTGGGACTTGTGTTCTAGCTTAGGACTTCAGACTAAACTATTTTTGGTGATGGCTATGTACTTGGTAAACCTGAAATAGAGTAAATGTGAGTAATTCCACTCAGGCCTGGAAATGGAGTTGCTTATCTCATTTTGGTTCTGCAGAGGTAAGACGTAAACAGTGTCTTTGTACCACTGCAATGAGGAGATGGGGCTGGTGCTGATAAGGCTGTCAGGAAGTGCACAGTCACTTTTCAAGAATGGAACATCACGCATCACACTTCTGACTTTGGTGGGTTTTTTCAAGTTATAAATGTATGGTCAGCCAGTGATTCTGAAACTGGCTTATTTCCTGTGTAACAGCATATGCTATTCTAAAGTGTTTTTATCAATCTCCTGTTCAGCCTGTCACGCCACCATTAGGGTAATGTCTGTCTTCTCTTAAGCACAACAATTTAATGTCTTTTTTTAAAAGGCAGAGAATTTTCCTGCCTTGGTCCCTGTTTTTAGATTTATTTCCAAAGTGGAATATGATCAATACAGTCCTAGGATTAGTGCTAGAAAAAGGAGCAGATATTATTTTTATGTAGGTGCTAGATAAACAGCAGCTGTATTTGGGAGGAGACAAATGGAATTTCTTAGAGGAAATAACCTCCTCCTCCTCCTGACCTTTTCTAGCTGAGGCTAAGCCTCACCAACTGGGAGCATTCCATGCTGTAATCATGTAGCACATAAATGAAGTTATGCCCCTTGCAATTGTTCAGGAGATATTTTGGTGTGCTTTTTCACTGTAAAAATCAAAAGAGAAGTAGCAGTCCTACCATCTTCATCAGGCAGTTCCTCAGGGCTAAGTTCCACCAGTTCAAAGCCGTGCTTGATGCACCATTCTTGAGCTTTCTGTCTATTAACACCTGAAGTTGGGAAACAAAAATACGTAGTAAAGATACACATTTGAGACTAGTATCAGCAGTTGAATCTTCAGCTGCATTTTATTCCCTCAAAGTTGTTTGCTTATTCTGGCTTGTATGGGGGGAAAAAAGTAAGTAGTAGCTGGTGTGGGTCCTCCATTCATTTTGAATTTGATCCCCAAACCTCCAGAGTTAAACTCCTCTTTGAACTGTTTTTTGCAAATACCATAAAATCTAATGGTTTTGCAGCGGTTACTCAAAGGGGTGTGTAAGTGAAGTGCTACCGTGAATGAAGACTACTAACTCCAGGTGTGAATGTGAATTCAGTTACAAGGACATACCTGCATCTTACAGGTTGTTGTTGTGTTGCATATACTGATGTAGAACCAAAGCAAATGTGTATTCCTGGTCACGAGAGTAACCTGGATCTTCTCAATCAAATCTCAAGCCCAGTCTCACTGCTATTTTGAGAAACAGTTGTTTTGATTTAACTAGAAAATGAATTACTATGCAAGGTTAATATGGAACTTGTGTGGGTTTCATACCATTTTCAGATACTCTGTTACAAACAAGGATCATGACTTCTGGTAACCACTCTTCTGTCAGGGGAAGCCATTCAGAGACACTATCAAGTCCAGATTTCTAAAGGGAAAAAACCAGTTATTTGGAATACAGCCCCAAGTACTTTAGATTTTTAAACTAGTTTTAAATCATTATTAGAATAGAATGAAGTAAGGAAATATGCTAGGCTGCATACCAAGTATGTTTGAGACACTTGTGTTCTAACCAGAGAAGTTGATTTAAACAACTTGCTTCCAATATCTGACTTAAAGATGAGTTAATCCCGCTGCCTTGGACCTCTCTTTCATGTCTAATACTCATGATGCAATCCTAGTATACATTAGGAAAGATATGTACTTAAGGCTAATCCTGAGTATTTCAGTTTAAGTATATCTCAGGCTTAATGTGCAGCCACTCCAGCTTCCATACCGAAGTGGACATTACGGGGGCTGGTGAAGTACTCCCACTGCTGTGGTTTATGCTGAAGCAGCCCTGAGATGTCTGGTTAGAGGTTATCTTTGCAGAATGTGTGGTGTGCACCTTTCCCATCTGTGGTGAAAAACAGTTCCTTATTTAGAATTTTTTTGGGTCTAGGAATCTTTCTGGCTTTTGCTGAAGAACTGTTTTCATGGCTGCCAGCTTAGCAGAAACCATTTTGGGTCAAATGATAGCACTGAATGTCATGTGTAGCTCCCTCATTCTTGGCTATTCTGAAGCAGCCTTTCTGAACTAGCATCAGCTAGGAGTAGTTGGAGGTGGTGGGAAAATTTGCCTAATTCAGTGGCATCGTTGCATCCCCAAAACCCTCCCTTCCACATGGAGTATAATAGTAAAAGGGAAGGAAAACACTTCAGCTGTTAGCGGGAATAATTTAACATTGATCTACAAACAATTAAGTACAACAGCCTAAAAGGAATGGATGGCACAAGATGAAAGAATGTAATTTGTGGTTAACACCATGATAAGGCAACTATATCATACAGATAAAACAATATAATGAAGCAGAAGAGTCTTACTATTGTGCTGTCGAAGTATACAACAAATGCTTGCACTGATTCAGCGATATCTGCAGTAACAAGAAATGTGTTTGGTACTACGCAGAGGTGAATATCTGCAGAGTAGTATTTATTGTCTATTGTCCAGGGGTAAAACTTCACCCTTCCACTTGTAGCTGCTCCCACAGTAAGGTCATCTTTTCCTGTGATACCTGTATAAAAGACAATGAACGAGATGGGTGATAAAACCAGCATCAAGAAAAGAGTTTGTGTAGAGCAGCTGGTACAATGCCAGCACAGAGCCATCTCTTCCTACTGTAATAAAACAGTAGATATTTAAGATCTTTAAAAATTCAAACTCAGTCTGTTACTTTGTCCTAGAGTTTATTATTTACCTTTCAAAAGAGTTTATTTTCTAGCTTTCAAAATAAAATATGGTACAGAAGCTCTTCAGAAACAAACCCTTTTCCTGGAAATGCTTTTTAACGTGTTAGCCTCAAACTTACTAACTGTAAACAGGATGTATGGAGACAATACCTAGACTTTATTACAGCAGAAACAAGCCCTGCATGTCCATTCAGATGTAAAGAACTGTTTGACTGTGACCAAAACCTGAAGGTAACTAATGAGAAAATAAAGCAAGTTACTACAGTTGAGTTGTAATTCCCATTAAATTCCATGTAGGAGTCCGACAATTAAAATCCAAGGCAGTGCTTTGATAATGTGATGTTCAAACACTGCCCTTTGTGTGCTGGCAGCACCCCTCACAGAACACACTCACAGCAGGACAGCAACCTCGTGGAGTTGAATTATAGTTTGTGGTAGAACATCCCATCCACACCTTGCTGGAAAGGGCAGAATATCTTGTTCAAGATGGACAAACTTATGAACCATTTAAAGCACAGGTCGGTTACATAAAATTGAGTCCTCTAGAATTGCTTTGGGCATCAGAAGAGTTAAAGAACAGAAATGAAGTATATGGGGTTTCAAAGATCTTAAAAGCTGCATTTTGAAGGTACTGAGAAACAGTTCCTGGAGATGCTAGAACAGGCTGTTCCCCAAATAGTCAGTGCCACAAGAAGCTAAGAATAAAGGGGGCCACAGAAATTACTGAAGCCCAGAAAATCAGTAATAAGACTTGGAAAGCAAAAGGGAGGAGAATAGTGTGAGGAAAGGAAGTTGGTTCAAAAGTCACTGCAGTGAAGTGAGCCACCTTAGCAAGAACACAAAAGGGAAGAACTTATAAAACAATTTTCAAAAGCTAGTATGAAAGAACTTTCACATTTGCTTTGTGATTATTTTTTCCCCTTTACAGAAGACTTCATGGACAAATTTCAGCCTCAAAGTACTGCTAGAGAATAAGGACATGTCCCATTTCCTATTACATGCCAGTGGTTCCTGTATTTTAAGCCATCTTCTTTCATCTCATTGTGTTTCTGATGACCCATCATTCATCCAAAGAGATTTTGCCAATCCCCTGTGGAATTTCTCTCCCAGTCAAAATGGATGTTGCACACTAACCTCGAAGGGCTGCCGTGAACGTTCTGAAAGGCTTCAGCCTTGCTGCGCCTCAGCCTGCATGAAGGGTTGTAACAAATGATTGCAAAGCAGCCTGATTACTCATGGCAGGAAACTAAACGCAGTTTGGGTATCTTGTAAATAGTTCCCTGCCACAAAAAGTCACTTCAACCATTAGGTTTTGCCCTTTAGAGTAAACAAGCAGAGGCTACAAAAGAAATACACACTGCAACTCAAACTGAGCTGTCAAGGACATAGTCCACATTGGAGTTAGTTTAAAGGATTACGTTTGCCACCTCCAGATTCCAGAAATTTCTTTCCAGGACAGGCTGTATTTTAATATGAAAGTAGTAAATTCAGCCAGACCACTTTCATATCTGATTCAGAGGATATTAATCACAATAAACCCCATCAAGTTTTATTTGCATATAGAATAAACTTGTATAAAATTAACATGGCAAGAAGGAGGAGGCTTGTCAAACCTATCTATCAGAGCTGGAGTTACTCACTTGTAATTTTAAACTCGTCAGCCATTGAAAGTGTCAGTGGTTTGCCATGCAAAGAGCCTGGAAAACCAACTGAGTCACTCTGTGACCACAACAGTAGGCAGGCCTGCTGGGCTGCCTCAATTAGCTTGCCTTTTCATAGGGCAGAAGTGGCTTGTCTGGATGACAGGAATGCAAACAGCCTCCAAATACAGCACCATTAAAGAGTACTAAAAACATGCATGGAAAAGTTCATGCCACAAAAGAACATTGCTTAGTGTCACTCGAAAACATGATTTAGAGTTCAAGGTCCTCCAGCACATACTGCACCTACTAATGCTGGACACTTATTTTACTGAAATAACCTTTTAGTCTTACCACTAAGTGCTGATGCTAATGAAGACATTCCTGCATTTGTCCCCCACACTTGTGTATAAAAGCACTTTGGAGCAATAGAAGCTTCCTCATTTACAGCGAATTACTTGAGGGCAGGGACCAAATAGACCGTTTCTAAGTCAGCTCCAGTTACCAGCTTTGGTTATTACCTGCCAGGAGCATTGGCACTATGCACCCGTGCAACCTCCAAAGCCCCGGTACTAACACACACCTACACCAAGATCACCCCATTTCTTGGGCATGGAGAGTTCTCTTCCTCTGGTCTATCCCAGTTCATGGCTCGCTTTGCCCATTTTCTACCATTTAAGAACAAAACAGCAACTGACACACGAGATCAGTTCATGGCTCAGTCCAGTAACTGATAGCGACTGGTGTCATACAGCTCATGCAACTTCCAAACTTGTCAGGAATCTGACCAGAGAAAGCTTTTGTACTCCAGGCAGTCAGTCACCAGCTTTGGTTTTTCAGAAAGCTCCTCAGTTGTGTCCCTTCCTCACTCAGCATTATCTGTAATTACTAATAAAGCTGACAAAATTCTGACCAATTGGAAACTCATGTCAGTTATTTACATAAATGTTCGATCATTTCACTGATTTAAACTTGTTGACTTTTAACTTCATGATCTTCCATATAGACAAGATAAATTAATGATTTGGAAGACAAGGAAGAGGACGTGACAAAACTGTAAAACCCAACATCCAGTCCCTTTTGGTAATACAGAGGCTCAGTAAGTGTTCTGCAAGTGCAAGGCAGCAAATCCTTTTTCAGAAGGAGAACTGGAGACCAGAAGGGACTTTTCTGTAAGAGCTGAACAATAATCAAAGACCCAGATGTAGATCTCTTGCAGCAACGTTCCCTGTTCTCTAATACCCAACTGATATTTAAGCACTTTGACTATATTGTGTGTTTAAAAGTAGTATCTTTTTCAGACTCATTATAACTCCTGTTTGAAGGGGTGTTTTTCCAAAGGGATTAAGGTATTGATCACTCTTTCTGGTGTTTTTCAGATTAAATACATGCTCAAGAACATTAATTCAGTCTTTTACAAAGCCCTAAATGATTCCAAGTTCTCTCAGTCGATAGGTACACCGAGTAGTTCTCACATTCTGGGCCTTGAGGGCCACCTGGTGGAATACACCATAAAAAATACTCCTGCAAATTACACAAGGAGTAAAGAGACACAAGAAATACGCTGTGGGGAAGGGGAGTCCCAAACAGTCAAAAAAGAGGGGGGAAAGACCACATCAGACAGTATTGGCCAGCATTTTGTAAACTAAATCTTATTTGCTCTTTTAATTTGTGATAAATGCATCAAAGAGAAAAGCCAGTCCTATTTTCTGCATTTGAATAGCTTTGTTTTGCCACAGTATCTCATGAAATAAAGCACTTGGGGCATCCCATAGAAACTTGAACGAATTAAAATACATCTAACAAATATGCTTCTCATCCTCAACCTATTTCCTACTTAACAGGATGAAAACACTGGGAAAAGCCTGGAAAGTTCTGGCAGGCAGCAGGAGAGATTGGTTCTCATACACCTCCTAACAGTGATTGTTCCAAACAGCTTTCTTCTACTTACTGGTCAGGTTTCCCTACCACGAGCATGTACCAGAGAAATCCAGCAACACAATGGCAAAAGCAGGGATAATGCCAATAAGGGCGTCATGTTTCTGGTGCAGACTTAAACCCCAGCTGCTGTATGAATCCTACCAACCAACCCAGTATTTTACAGCGTATTTAACCAAACATACTCTGTCTCAGTGTACTGCCTCAGAGGTGCTGATACAATGGTCTTGATCTCAGCACTGAGCTCTGAACCACTACTAAAAATGCCTTTAATCTGGTGTGCCACTTTCATGCTAAAAAAGCACAAGTTCTGAGAACTGCACCAGCATTTTGCTTCCACCCACTAAACCCCTTCAGCCTGGCCAGCCAGAGCTGCCTTGGCCTTATCAGTATGTCCTTGAATGTTCCACAGTGGTTGTTCTGCTTATGTTTGTGAGCTGATGTAATGTCACTTGTTATAGAAAGCAGAAAATTAAATTCTCATATTTTAGTAAATCATCATGTTTCTTTCAGGAAGATTCTAATGTCTTTTGTGAAACAACCCCGCCAGAGGACACAGACTGTCTGTAAGGCTCCAGTTTTGGTACTGGAAAACAGTGGGAGAAGAGGCATTTAGAAGTGAGTACTAGTTAAAAAAACCCCTGAAGTTAAATTTTAAGACTTTCTTCTATGAAGCTTTTTAGTCACTTTCCTCTTTTACTTATTTAATTTTACTATGCAAAATAATCACAGGAAAACTACAAGAACCTTGATTAATACCTTCTAATTCACTTATCCCTTAAAAATAAGCAACAACCAATAATAATATTCTCTGGTATGGAATCCTTAAATAATCCAATATCATCAACCCAGCTGCTGTGACAGAGCAGCCTTTGACTGCAGACCTGGTGCTGTTATTCTTGGTTCAAAATGTGATTTAATGAGATGGGAGGAAGCCAGTCCTCTGTAAGGAGGACTTAGTAAGTGCCTTAGTAAGTCCCAAGTAAGATCTTACTCAAGCAGCTGAAAACAAATCCAGAGAAGGGGGTAGGGTGTTGATAAGTTACATAGCTCAGTATGCACATCAAAAGCAAGGCTGTACTAACAAGTTGTAATGGCAAAATCTCCAAGCTCTAAACAGCTTCTTCCTGGAATCCCCCTGATTTTAGAATTGCTAAAAATTCCACCAGGTTTTTCTCTACCTCAGGTCTTACGCTTCTTCAAGCCATAAAAATGGGAAGTGGGTGCCAAGAAAACCACTT